TATAGCTCATGTAGGACCCGTAATATTTGGTGGCCGTGGTGCTTCCCTGTTTAAAAGGGTGTATGCCTATTTTACTTCATTTTGTCTCCCGCTTTGCTAAGGAGGGAAGTGGATTTACTGTATTTCCAACTCCTCCAATTTTCTTCTGATTAATTTCGTTGCGGGTTCCAAGACAGTTTAATTTCTTCCTGGGACTTCCCGAGTGTCATAACTCGGTGTGTTCGTGGGTCACTGCTGTGGATCCTGGTGTACAGGAGTTACAGTGGTGGGCGTGTGGGTGGGATTAGTCCCAAAAAAAAAAAAAAAGACCACAGATAGCGTAGTATAATGTTGCACGTACGTCAATAGTTATAAGGTTTTAAAAAATATAATATTATTGTAGTTATATTAAGTTAGTTATATTAAGTTGTATGCTGTGTTCTCTTACAGAATAAAGTTTATTTTATTTTATTTATTTATTTATTTATATTTTCTCTGAAACTTTCTGAAATCTAATAACATTGTAATCATATCTAACAATAATATCCACAGACAGTTGCTACGAAAATGTGTTCACACTTCTTATTATTGACTTTAAAAAGATATTGCTGCTCGTAACAGTCTTATAGGAGGTGAAAACAATAAAATCGGTTCGTTTTCGTCCGTCGCGTCTTCACTCGATAAAGTGAATACGAGTACTTAGGGAAAACTTTGAGAAGCAAACCACGTCTGAGAAGAACCTTTTACGTACTTTACAAAGTAACTCTCTTAGAGTCTTGGTTAACTACTGATTAAAAATGAACATAGGGACACTAATTTTATGTAGGTATGCTAACGAAACGGCAAGTTTGTTACCAAACCCTATTTCAAAGTTACATTGTTACTTTTATATTCGTACATATTGAAATACATATAAAAATATACCTCACACATCTCACACACGGCTGTCTGATCCCAAACTAGGCAGAGCCTGTATTATGGTAACCAGACTGCGGCTAACATACTTATATATTTTTAAACACATACATATTATAGATAAATTACACCCAGACACAGAACAAATTACCGTGCTCATCACACAATATTTGTCCTGGGTAGGAATCAAACCCATGACCTCCAGCATAGCAGTTAGGGTCACTAACCACTAGACCAACAGGCCCGTCACTACCGACCTATATGTACCTACGATCAGTTATAATTTCATTACTCTGTTATACTGTTAATAGGATTTCAATCTTTTCTGTAATCGTTTTGGTTCTAGACTACTTTTAACAAAATAAATTAGAAATTGGATGAGTCACAAAAAGGCACTCCACTTTGCTTATAACAAAAGTTTAAACCTAACTCCATCACGTTACTTTTTACATTTGCAATTTTCTAAATCAAGTTTTAAATAATTCAGGAACGGCTAACACGGAAACGTGATTTGAACCTTTAAATTTTTCCTCTGTTCCGAGATACAGTAAAACCTGTGCGAAATTCAAACACTTTCAGAGAGGGCAAAGTGTAACGGATAAAAAGGGTCACGCATGGAACATATTCAATTGTTCCACTTTTTAGGTTATTGTTATAGGCATTGCTATACAGTTGGGTATATATTTCTTAATTGTAATTTTTCTTTATGAAAGGTGTGTAATTATTCTAAATCATTGTTTTATTTAAATCAAAATATGGACCTACCGACAACCTTTGTTTGTAAGGCCATTTCTATATCGGGAGTATTTAAAACAATATTTATTAAGTCTGCACAATTTTGTGTTGTGAATGCCAATGTAAAAAAAAAAACGCGGTTAGTGTATGAAAGTAAGTTTTGTACGCTACGATGAAATATAATACTTTATAGATAGTATTACGAGGTATTAAGTTTGCCTACCCGCGATTCATCCCGTGGGTGTCGTAAGAGGCGACTAAGGGAGCGAAACACGCAGGACACCAGCACTGCAGAGAGAAGGAAAACTTGACACAAACCCTATACCAACCCTTCTGGCCAGCGTGGTATAGTAGGCCAAAACCTCCTTTCTAAGGAGAGGCCTATGTCCAGCAGTGGACTGTTAAAGGCTGTTGATGATGTTGATGACCCGCGATTTAATAATCGGACAAATTGTCGTTAGGTCTTTGTATCAGGAATTGATTAGCAACAGCATAAAAACTAAATACACGTAGTCAAAATATTGTTTTAAAATCTAAATTCTCAAAGGGCTATATAAGAAGAGAGACAATTATTTTGATATTTATGACAGGTTTAAGACCAGGTTTTTGCCTGTAATATATCGTCAAGAAGTATTAGGATGACTATATCCGGTCTGATTACTTTATTTTATTTATTGAGGTCCTTCACAGCTGACAGTAGGTACATGTAGAAAATTTATAGAGTATTACGCCAATTACGAAGACACAATAAAACAGGTAGAATAAGTGAACGAAAGTGATCCAGCATTCATTAGTGTTTATATGCATGTTATACATTAGATTAATAAAGTGTGTGTTATGATTGTGGTATGTGTCAGGATGTCTGTGTATGATCGTGTGTATGTCGGGTGCGTGTCTGTTTGTTTTGTGAGTGTGTGTGTGTGAGGGCAGGTATGTGTTTAACCCTATATGCTTGTGTATAGTTGCGTCAGGCACCCTGATGCTAGTTGTTAATTATTTTTGCCTTCTGCGATACAATCTTGATTGTTAGATTTTTAAAATACGACTATATGGTGACATTTTACTGTATGTTGTTGAGGTGAATGTGAATTAAATTTTTATTCCAACTGTATTATGAATATCTCATAATGATAAAATCGACCTAATGCATTTCAGGACATGCACTGCAAGGTTCCATAGTTTATTATTTTTAGAAGTCAAAATAAAAAACTACGTTTCAGTAATTACTCATACTCTAAGATTGTTATATTTTTTATGAAATTTACTATGTAGGTGCAATTTATAAATGGCGCGGATAAGACTCTCACACTAAAATACCTTATTTTTAGCGTTAATGTTTTCTGTCTCTTTCTCCTTTCTCCCGTTTTACATTGTACCACCACGATTGCACCATATTTTTTCAAAATTTTCCCGCCCGCGGGCATATTATTAAGATTTTGTTCTATCACTTTGTCTGTGTATTTTATTTAACAGACAGACGCACGAACAGACAGACAGTCAGACATGGCTTAAATAAAAGTGTTTCTTGTTTTATTGTACGGTACCATAAAACTGATTTTTATCACGTTTAACCCTAAAAATGGAATGAAGGTCGCTATAATTGTTTTTTGATTAAATAAAAATGTTATAGTGAATCTACTGCGTCTCTATGATTTGTGTATTGAAGAAAATATCAAATTTCGAGTAAAAGTAGTGTGTTCTAAATTTAACATAATATGTTTGGCTTATTTTTTAAATGCTCTGTAATTAAAGAAAAACGATGGCGTCATTCCGCAAAATGTACGTCTGCATTAAAACTTAAGGCATTCTAGGTAGAGTTCTAAACTGCAGACTTATGCTATGACCTTCAATGAAAGTAATGCTGCATTGCGGTTCGGTATCACGCTACATAGTTCTATTGTACTGCACCCAAAGACACTTCAAGTAAATGCAATAACCTTGGAAATCAATGATACGATTAAGATTGTAGAATTAAATATTAAGTCTTCAGTACCACAACATGCAGCTGCACAAGATACTGACTTTATGTACAGATTTGTACAAGGTAAGTGTATTTACCGGATGGCGTAGTGGTTTAAGCGGTCGCCAGCAAAGCGGGGACAGCCCTTTGTGTGACACCACAAATGGTTGTTCTAAGTCTGGGTGTTCTTTATGTCTATTTCATGTACGTTTGTAAAGTTCTCAGCGACATAGAATATATTCCTAGTGCAGGTGTCTTTCAAAAAATTGAATTGATTGTAACTTTATATACTATTATTGTTGTCAATTTCATACATTTTAGTATTTAAGAAAGTGAAGCTCTTTAAATATAAAATTAGCTTCAGCTTTCAATAGATAATAATGCAAATCAACTGGAATTTCAGTGTCCCTCTTCGTGCATTATGTTTAGACTGAAAATGTCTATTATATTTGAAATGTAGACCTTAATTAGTTGGGATGTTTACGCAGTTTACTTATTAGTATATCATCAGATTTCTACACCACCCAAAGGTTAGCTGGTAGAGAATGCCTTGGGTATTAAAGTTGTAAATAATAAAATAAAAACATATATATTCAAAGACCGCTAGTCGTTCGCAGAATTTCTGACAACAATCAAATTTAACGCTGAAATGTCTATGACCAATGTTGGTTTGTGCAGTAATCATATTTAGTTATGGCGTTGGAATCAAATACTCTTTTCCGTTTTTTTTTTATCGCATAGAGGGCAATGCAGGGTCTGGCAGACCAACGTCAAGCGTGGTAGAGAAACGAATGTCCTCAAAACTTAGGCACATTTAGCGAGACAGGAGGAGTGTTTACCTTTTTGAAGTGCAGCCAGAAATATGTTCAATGCCAAGAAATATTAAATAAAGAACTTAAATACCTAATGTTTTATTTTATGATACAAAACATAATTTTATTCACATAAAATTTTAATAAAAACGTAAGCGTAGAGAGAGTACACATGTAGAACTCAAACTAAAGGTATATTCATACTATCTCATAAGAATGTAAATCAAAACAATTACTAATATCAAAATTATGTACGCGTGTACTACGTTAGGAGACCAATTTTAAAAGATGACTATAACGACAATTTCTGAATGTTATATTGAAATTGATATACTTATAGCAAATCAAATTTACATTTAGCGATATTCAACTATGTGACGATATTTATTTTTTAAACTAGAGATAATATATTTTGTAAAAAGTCAAACCTAGTCTACGATAAGGTTATACTTTACAAAAAAAAGATATTCGTTTAAGACAATTCTGCAGTCAATTCATTAGATCCATCATACATTCAGCTAAAAATTAACAAGGTAAATAGTTTATTCTTTACATAAATTCTATAGTTTTGACTGCAAAATCATGTTCAGTAATTATAATTAATAAACCATATTTACAGAACACGCTGAAGGTGCAGAATGAGCGCCACAAGTGCCACCTGCCTGCGCAGCCGCCAACGCACTGCTTCCTGGCACCTGTTAATTGAAAACATAGTTACAATGTGCTGAAAATTACTTGCTTCTCAGAATAGTTTCGACACAACCTGTTAGTAAAATAGAACTTGTTTATGTATTTGAGGCATTTTGAGCATTAAAAAAAATTGATCAGCTACAATAAAATAGGTATTTCTTATAATATTAGAATAGAATATAAACTCATTTAGATACATTTCTTTTAGGAATATTCTCAATATTGAAGATGAAATTCGTACGACATTCTCGAAGCCAATTTAATATTTATACTCAATATTTTTTTTGATATTATAAAATAAGATTGTTTGGCATAATTAAGAAAATGAAAAAATTCATAGATTTTATACTACTCTCTTAGTGAATTTATTGTTAAAACCTAATTGCAAGGGGATATTATTTTTTACTGATCGAAAAGAAGTCACATAAACAGATTTTTATTTATTTAACAAAAATAAATCCTTTTAGGAAGGACTTTTGCCCTGCAAAGCCGAAACTAATAAAATGATGCAGACAAGTAAAATATAATTATGTCCATTAAACTTGTTAGGATGTATATTGATTTAATAATAGTAATCTACCACATTCACACAACGCCATCTAGTCCCAAACTAAGCAGAGCTTGTACTATGGGTACTAGACAACAGATATAAATACATATTTACTTTTTTTGGTAAATATATTCATATTATACATAGAATCATCCACACCAAATCAAACATTAAAGAGAAGTCCGTTACACAAACCACTACGCCATCCAGTCATCTATTATTTTTTTACAAAAATATTTGTACATTTCGAAATTATATTTTATGATTCTGATCTAACATACAAAAAAAGGCTTAAACTTTTATTTTGGGTAATAAATGGAAATTTAAAGAAAAAATATAGCTCTTAAGTTGATTTTTTTAAAGCAATGTGGAAACCTACCTACCTAAATACTTATATTTTGAATATTAAAAGGAAGGATCTGTAAACAAGCTTAATAAAGGTACAGGTCTAAGACGGACTAGAAAGCACAGTCTGCAAGCGAACATTTTCAATGAAAAAGAATTCTGAACATGATGACGGACCACGGCGCGACAAGACCACAGCATCAGTCCTAAACAGACCACAGAGAGAGAAACGTGGCGACTATTTTTTTCTGTTTACATGACAATGTATCAGCTTCCTTTTCTAACAGAAGATACATATGAGTATATAATTATCGTAGCGTTATGCTACATTCTGCGTAAGCAGGAAGCGACTGAGACATGTGCGGTCTGCACTCCATCTTATAATAAAAGTCAGACCGCAGACATTAGTGCGGTCTATTCAAACTGCAAGTTTTGATGCCACCTGCCACTATACAGTTCCTCTCAGACTTGTACCTTATAGAGTATGAATACTTTTCTACTGAAACTTAAATTACCATTAGAAAAAGAAATGGTTGTATTTTCAGCTTTTGGCACTAAGGAAATGGATAATAAAGATCGAAGGTCTAATAAAAATGGCCCAAATACAACTCACGTCACAATTTAGATCTAAGTACTGACTTCAAGACGAGTACTAAAATACAGGATTCTAATTATACAAGAATGAAAAAAATGTTAATATTTTTATGGCCACAAACCATATTGAAATCCTATAGCGACGTTGGTATATGTGAAGTACACTGTTCCACCTGTAGAAATTTGATTTTTATACTTTGTCTTTTATGAAAATAATTAAAAAATACCTAAATATTTACAAAAGAAGTCAATTTAAAAATAAAAAAGGTTAAAATTTCTTGTAAATAAAATATATCCCAACAAATATACATTTATTATTAAAATGTCTTAATCTTTTTAATTTACAACTACCAGCTATTCAAAATGCTAAAGAAGAATTAGTTACTGATTAAATAGAGCATAGGATCGCTCCTTTTAAATTAAAATAATTTTTCATTGTATTTTAAATCTTCTTTGATCATTTATTACTTTTATACTTTTAAATACATTATCTTTTCAGTTCATATCTCTCATCATATCATAGATATTTAACTCACCTTTAACTGCTCTTGCTTATAGTCCGGCTGGTATGGGAGCAACATTCTGATCTTCCCCCATCTGTTAAAGAACAGCGCTATTGCTCCAATCCACACGATCAGCACCAATACTACTATACCAATCTCTACACCTCGTATCTGTTTTGAAAATAGACCTGATTAATATAAAGAATTGTCTGAGAAAACATTATTTAATAACATAGCTTAAATAGGCTTAGGACTTCGTGACGACCATCGGAGTGTGAATTCTCTCTCTCTCTGTACCATGATTGCGGCAATGGTACGGAGCCAGAGCGCGTGGAACTCTGCCGTCTCCTTCTACGAGCAAGTGATGCTTGCGAAGGAGAGGGGCGCGGCGGAGCGGGACCGAGAGAGGTTGAAAACTTGCCCGGGACCGGGTCTGGTACCGCAGACGACTTGGGCTACGGAGGTCGGAATAGAACGACCTCCGTCCTCCATAAGCCCAGGCCTTTGGGTGACAGGTGAAGCCATCTGTCACCCTGGCAGAAGTAGGCTGGGATGGCGGCACGACGTGCTGCGGGACGAACATTGTGGTTCCTACACACGAGATGGTATTTTTTTTATTTAAGAGGTGTAACAGCAACCTTCCAGATTCTCCCCTAGAACAACATGATACTTCTTTTTACTAGTTGCTGTTGATAAGACATTCAATAAAGATTAATACACAGCAACGCCATTGTGATTATTAAACTACTTTCTTTACGTAAATGCTAAAAGTAATTTCTCATAAAGCAATTTTATAAAATTCATAAACTGTAGTACTAATACAAAAATCATAATGAAATCACTAATTATAACGCAATTTACGTGTACTCAATCGTGATTAAAAATCTAAGTTAAGCAAAGAAAATTCTTAATTCAAAGATAAACATGCTCTGATTGGCAAGAAAGCTCTTGAGCACGATCTGATAAATTATAACTAAGCGACTCGTCAGTCCAAATATTACGTCTGAATCGCTAATTTTAGTGATGAATACAGTTAAATTCGAAGCCATTGTCAAGCTTTACTGAGTTAATCTATGTTTACCGACCGTTCTTATTAGACTTAAACCTCTAAAGGCTCTAAAGGCAAACCTGATAGTAATTTCAACTTAATAATTTGAAAAGATGTATGTAAAATCAAAATAATAGTTTATTCACGAATTTAGTCTATAATATTTACTCGTATATACCTCAATGTATAATATGTAACACTTTCTGTACAAACCTATAGATACTTATGTACTTTTAGCTTAAGCATCATTCACATGAATAGCACCAAGTACGACCATAATTTATGCTAGTAATTGTGCAAAATGTGTAAGTTAGATATACATTATCTGTTATATTAGGATTAGTACCTAAATATAGGAGGAGACACAGCACAGGTCACGTTTCGCATTTTTTAGATTGTGTGAGTGTGCTTTTGCATTTTTTTTCAGCCTAATAAGGCAAATTGCGACTTTATGCGTGCTCCTTACGCTACCAGTTCAAATAATTTTACAAGGTCAGCAAACTGACAACTTCTACAGTATTTACTTATCACTGAATCTAATTCTTGAGTGCCTTATAAAACAAAAAACCGGAGAACAAACAACAACCAATAGAGCAAACAATAGAACTGTTTGACGCTGTAGGCTTCAAATATTTAGTTTACTTGACTAAAAATCACATTACCGTTGGGAATGTAGGCGATGGGTCGGGTGGAGCGACGGATGAACGGGGTGTAGCTCCAGCCAGCCCCCCGTCCTGTTGCGGTGACGTTCGCGGGGGCTCTGTTTAAACACGATATCAGCATTAGCGATTGATTGTTAGGCCTAAAATGGTCACATGTTTGTATATGTGCGCAGTAAGTGTTATTTGAAACAACAGAAATTTGAGAAATTAGAGCAGCGGCATACGCACATTAAATTCTTTATTAAATATGCCAAAATTAAATAAAAATAATGACCTCACACATCTTATTTATCGTTGGTATATTCATCTATACTTTTGTTATTTTTAAAACTTTATGCACATGTTACAAAGATAGACTTAATTCCTAAGGTATTCTCTGCCAATCAATCTCAGAGTGATGCAACATTTAAATGTAGGAGATATAAAGAAATAATACCGAAGTTATGAATTTAAGAGTTTATATCCTTCTTTTAATTTTTTCGTTGTAAAACATTATATCTCTACCTACCGCCAGAAAGTACATAAACCTGTCAATATGTCAATATTAAAAGCTTTTGAAAATCCAATTACAAGGTAACAGCTCTTCGTATTCATTTAAAAATTTACCTGTAGTCTGAATATTTGAAGCTTTTTCTGTCATTTAAACGAGTGACAGACATTTGATAAAAAAAAAATCACTGAAAGCCTTTTAAGTATGAAATTGTATAGTGTAATTATAGGGATATGTGAAAAAGAGTCACTAAAATATAAATTTTGAATTTAAAGGTCAAATACAGTTCCCTCTGCACTCTTTCTCTAAAGTTTCCTTTACAATAATGGTAATAAGACAGATTTTATTTTTAAATGAATTCAATACTTTTCTTCAAGAGTTCGCTACAAGAAGTAGACTGTCGTGAACTATTCAAAGTTCTAATTGAAAACTTTTTAAATCCAATAAATAAAAAATAAATATAAGACAAAGTTTTATCAAACATCATCCAAAAAAATATTTCGCAATTTAAATATTGTTCTTGGCAAAGCTTCTATCAGGTACCTATATTATTCCCTCTCAAATGATCCAAACTTCAATACTAAACTAAAATTTGATACATTACATTTTATTACAAATTTGCCAATAAATCTAGAATACAAACAGTCATGCTAATACAAATCAATAATCTAGTTTAAACACCTCGATACGCAACAACCCACTAAACTAAATGTCGGATCCAATTTTAGAAACCGGTCACTCCCCCGTGTACTTTGTACTCAACGGGAGGAAGTATTTGGTTTTAGATAGGAAATCGAAATTAACAGTGACAAGTTACATTTTATATATTTCCAGATATACAACCGAGGCAAGACTTTCGAAATTACTTATGACATTGAGCAGTGTCTTGGAATTCCGTTCAAACTATTCTTTCTTTTCTTCTTATTTGTTTTACTTAGAAAGGATATTTTTTGTTATGTTTTGTAGAAATTCACATATTTATAAATCACAGATATTGTTTAAAAAGATATAATTTAATAGGAGATAAAATCAAAGCAAAAATATATTTTACAGTCGTGTTCATGGGAATGCATAAGTGATTAATTTCCTGCTTCTCGAGTAAATTCCTATTTATCTACAGTGTTTTACTAAACGTTATTCTATTTGTAAAGTAAAAATAACAAATATAAGGGAACAACATAATTGCGAGACTTATATGTCCCCGATGGTTGTGTAAACATACAAACCTGTATTTGTACTTGGACCTCTAATCTTCTCAAGAACCGAAGATTTTTAAATGGTTTTTGTCTAACACAAAAATTAATTTTACTGTTACAAAAGTACTCTCTCACACATCGATATATTATTTATTTTTAAATAGCAAAATCTTTATTAATTTGCACTTTCTTAGACCTTCATGCGTTCTGATAAAAGAGTTATGAACAGACAGAAAGTGATTCTTAAAAGAACGGAACGCAAAACACGCCGTTCTATGACACAATCTTGCCAACAACCACTTGATACTTAGATTTATACATCGGGAAAGCTACTACCGACGTATTTACCAAAACTTTGAGTAAATTTTTAATTTAGCACTTATGTATATAATATGTACCTTAATTTCAAAAATTACTTTCTATACCGCGCTCATTAAGTTTTGATAAAGTATGAAACAAGTTAGTAGTCAAAATGTGACAGCTTACTGGTAGTAAATGACTAAGTTTCAATTTAAAGTAAATTCTTCGAAACAATACTCGCGATATTTTTAGTAAGTTTATGAGTATGTCTGAAGCGCTTAAAATTTTGGCGTTCAAGCACAATTGAAACCAATTCAATACCACTTTGTTTAAGTCAAATGAAGACAGATTGATCAAATAGGAAACTGAGTTTTGATATTGGCAATTAAATTGATCAGGCAAGATTTATCGTTTCTTGACGATTATGAAATCTGAAAGTTTCAAACATTGGTAATCGTATCATGGAAATCCATTTTACAATTTTATCGTATAATTTTTCAAATATTTACTTGTTTTTAACAAAAATCTTTTACTCTTTTTGATATAGAATTTTAATGAGCAGATAGATAATATGACAGTATGGTCTATGGTCAGTGACTACCACCGCCCAACAACACCCGCAACTCGAAAGTCACATGCGGTAAGTCTTCTTAGTTGGCAATTCTTGCGCGAGTGGTCGTGGCTGTTGATGAACATTGTTGCGGCTGGCCGTCACAGCTCACTTTCAGGGCCGTTGCAGGACAAGTCCTACAAATTATTCATGCTACCTACGGCAAGCCGTAGGTAGCTCGAATAATTTCAGTTCGTGTGGTTATCACATGATTATGTGATTATAAAATTGTGACTTGGATAAAAAGAAAAGTTTCGTTAAACAAAAGGTTCTACTAAGAAGGGAAGTGGATGTCAAAAAGTGCAAACCATTTATCAAATGATATTTCAACAAATAGTAGTGCAACGTTGTTACGCGAATTATTTCAATTCGCTTCAGTAAAACAATGCCTTTTAGTAAATTACATTCATTTTAATGTAATTAAAACTCTTAATTATGATTTTTGTAAATTTTCTGATTCATGTTTTGTTTTCATTTTATTTATGTAAAAACAAATTTTAATTCACCTAATAACTCAATAGGGTAGGTTTAAAAATAGAAATAACTTTGTACAAAATAACTGCAATCTATTTTTAATCATCAAACCAAACTGTTGAAACCAGTTAAAACGTTTTCCACGTAAAACACCGATCTCAATCGTATTACATTAAAATGTGATTTAAAAACCGACCTTAATCGATTTCAACCAAAAGTCTGTGGGTTGTTTTTTAAAGCTTCTTTTACAATCAGTCAATCGAATTATACTGACTGTTTTGTCAGCATTCAGAGCAAATCAATTATAGTCTATTTTTTAGCTGGAAATATACATAAATGTTAATAATAGTAATCTTTGGAATAAACCTGACTTCACTGCACTGACTATTTCACATGATAATCATATAATTAGCAAGAACACGCTAGAGAGCTATCTAAGGGTATTTATCACCATACTAATTTCGTCTGCTTCACCTCCTTTTTCATTTTGAATTACGAATAATCATCAAATTTCAAAAGCCAATATTGTAGAATACACTCAATTCGAACTGAGTTTTGACTGAATTTGGAAAAGTCCAACTACGTAAATAATTTCTGCGGCAATTGACCAATAATGAAAACTTGTGTATATTACTTAATTGGTGTGATATATAAAATCGAACGTTCCAACAAACAGAATACTCCATCGGTTAGGTAGACAAATACCGTTTGCAATCGTGCATCCGGAAGATCAGATGGGTAAATGAACTAACTGGAATGGTGCCAATATTAACTAAACATTACACTGTCATAGATATAGCTACATGCGAGCATATATTGTCCAATTGTGCCAACAGATGGGTTGCATGATTGTATAAATATATTCTAACTTAGTATGATTTTAGATAGTGTAGTAAGTAAGTGGGTACTATAGAAATTTGACTGCACGGATGGCGTAGTGGTTTAAGCGGTCGCCACGCCGCTTCCTACTACACCGAGTGTTGTGGGTTCAAAACCCACATGGGACGACACTTTGTGTGATCCACAAATTGTTGTTCTGAGTCTGGGCGTTCTTTGTGTCCGTTTCATGTTTGTTTGTAAAGTCTCCGCGACCCACAATATTTTCCTTTTAAAAGGAGTTGTCTTTTTAAAATGAATGAATATTATTCACATAATTATATTGCTATGGAGATATGACTATAATACCCTTTACAAAGTGATAAGTGGAGTAAGGAAAGCTGATAATCGCTGGATCGAAACTTATTTTGTTTTGCTAACATATTTTATCATTTTAATAGAGGGTATATACACATTTTTATATTTTTAGTATTCATATGAATTCATTAGTGAATCATAGAAATGAAAAATATAAACGTGGAAAGAACAGATAACAACGGCCAAGGTTATTCATACAGTCAAAGTTTTTTTAAACAGCAATATGACACACTGCATGCCTACCTACCAGCCCTCACTAATGTGTACACGTGTATTATTTAATTTTCAAGGTAATTCAGGTGTTCTATTATATCTAAATCTATTGGGATTACAACTATGCACGCTCGGCACGCAACAGGTTAAAACATGAATTCATATAGCATATATTCTTGGATTACATTTTTTGTTGCTTACTTTTACAGAAATGTAATACGTACTTAATTTTTCGAAAATGCGAAAATTATTCAAAATATTAAATTTATTTCCAAATCCTTAAACACTTAAATCTGAGTCCATTTTAGTTATTTCTACTATATACTAACCTACCCTATTATAAGAATAATATATATAGAAACATTTGAAATGGAATTACAAATTTAAGATACAGATTTGACAAATAAAAGCAACAGGAAGTATCAATCTTGTACCCATTGCATATGTGTAAATGTTCCATCAACATCCCAGCAATTTGGGCTCCTGCCAGACAAACTGTTTATAGAATCTTCCTTCTGCATCGTTGGAATACCGCAGTCTGTATGTTGACAGACAGAAAAAAAAAACTGTATGATATGATACGCCAGGTGAATTTATGACTAACCCAAAAGCAGACGGAGT